GCAGTTTTTCTCTGGTTTCATTTGGATCCTGAGCCAAGGGAATTCTGGCCAATAGACCTCATTCCTTAGTTCCTTTGTGACTTGACAGTGAATTATATCTGAACGTTCATTATCTCTGTGTCTGATTTTATTCAAACCCCGTTTAGTGACAGGTATGAGATGCTTTCTGTTGGGGATCTGAAACGTTGGCCCTTGGTCGCTATGCTTTGTCTTTGGGACTTGTACTGGGGGCCCCGCTCATCCGAATGTCAGGTCTCGGGCCTGTGAGTCTTGGCATTGGATGTATCTGTCCAGCCTGTCATCTTGGTGAGGGCAGGGCGTTACATTGTGTTTTTCTTTTATCCCCTGGATGCTTCCATGGCACCATACTTGTTTCATTGTTGCAGCTCACATGACATGTCCCCAGGGCCTTGCTGCCTTTTCTCTTCTTGAGCCTGGCAGCTAATTCACTTCCTGCCCCGCCTGCAGGGCACCAGTGAGGAGTGAGTGGTCAGGGCTTCTTGGGAGTGGATTCGGGCACTTGGAGCACTGGTGCCAGCTCTCTCAAACCCACACTCCTGTTGAGCAGCCCTGGCCCAGGAGTGGTCTGGCAGAGTGAAAAGGGGTGCAGAGGGAGGGGAGCAGGCAGGAGGTTTGAACTGCAGCCCAGGTGCCTAAGGCAGAGGTGGAATGCCCCACGGAAAAGAAAGGGTTTGCTTTTTTAAATGGAAACAAAAAAAACCACATTTTCAGAAAGGGAGTAAATCTAAAGTATATTGATACTTCAGCAATTTGAGATTCTTTTTGATCTGGATGACATATGCTATGGCAGGCTGCTTTAGGAAATGGACATGCAGGCAGATTGGGGAGGCAGGCAAAGCCTCTTTGATTTGGAGCTGAGGGAACCTGCAGGCCAGGGCTGTTTCCTTTGTCTGCTGTTGGCTGGTGGGCTGCAGCCCAGGGTTGGAGGTACTGGGCTGGGCTCACCAGGGACGCACGCACTGTGTGGCCTGTGTGGCCTCTGTGACCTGTCCAGAGAAGGGCTGTGGAGGCAGGGTGTCCCTCGGGTCTTCTGCAGAGAGCAGCGTCCCTTTGGTGCAGTGTGTGGGGTCCTCCCCCACCCGGCAGTCCTCGGGTACCTGGCTAGAAAATTCCTTATACGTAAACTAACTACGGATTTAGTCATTTGGGAGCAATTGGAGGTCTAAGGGATGGGGCGTGATCATTTCTCATATGTTCTGTAAGTTGTTTTCTTCTATTGAATTTATTGGGGTGACATTGGCTAATACAATTATAGGTTTAAGGTGTACAATTCTGTAATACGTCATCTGTATATTAAGTTTTAATTGAGATGAAATAAATACTCAATGAGGTGGGGTTTTTTTTTAAGATTTAAAAGGAATTTTTATAGTGAGGAATAGCAGTAATGTTTTTGTTAATTAAAACCAAGTTATAATAATCTTTTGTAGCTCTTTGCAGAGTACGCGCACATAGACAGTTGTGTTTGATGATTAGTTAATATCAGATCCCAGGACGATTGGAACCCCCAACCACCACCACCACCACCTGTTACATAAAGGAGGGGTATAGCCCACACCACTGCCTCTAGGCGCCAGCAGGGCCAAACACCATCCCCCAGCTTCCCTGCTAAGGCGGAATTTGCCAAATTGGACTCAGAGGTGCCGGTTCTGTGACCCTCCTGGTCAGCTTTGGAGGGACTGCGTTTGGGGCGGTTACTCCTCCCGCCCTCTGGCTCATCCGGAATATTTGTGGGGTTCGGAAACTGCACTTCCCAGGTGTTTTGTTTCAGATCTGATGGCAGCCCCTTGATTAATCAGCCTTATCAGGATGCCTTCTCTAGATTCTTTAGTGGTTACACCAAGTGTTGCTCCCATTTTAGGGATGAGGAAACTGAGGCTGGCTGTTCAAGGCCCTGTAGCTGGCGTAGGCAGAGTTGGAATGACTTGGGGGTGCATTATCAGCCATTATCAAAGGGCGTGGACAGCTCAGCTTCCAAGAACCCTTGAGACTTTCTCAGCTGGTGTTTCGGAAGGCTGAACTCTGAGCGCCCTGCTGCCCCTGGGCACTGTGCTGACAGGTGGGGGCGGAGGCCAGAGCCTCTGTGATCCCCGCAGTTGAGAGCCCTAGAAGCTTTGCCCGGGCGGAGGCTGGTAGTTGAGACAGTGTGGAGGCTGGGGTGGCAGCTTCAGCTCATGCAGAGGCTAGTCCTCTGGGCCTGTCATCCCTGCCCCCCACTCACCCCCTTTCAACTGTTTATTGCCAGGGAGGAGGAAGGAGTCTCCAGCAGTTCTCGGGGATGCCTCCCTCCTTGTAAGGGTCCCATTTATGTTTTTAAGTGAGTGAACCTTCTTACAGCCTGTCTTAACCTTGGCTCCTCTGGCCAAGAACCTCCGCTTCCCATCTCCTGGGCACCCCTTCCCTCCGCCCCGATCAGACGGTAGCAACCTCAGGGTGGTGACTCGCGGAGAAGATGGAATCCCTGGGAAGGAAGCGCAGGACGAAGTAATGACACATTTTAAGCTGTGTCACAGTGGGCAAGCCCCTGCCCTTGTCATGACCTCCCACTTCCTAAATTAGAACGGAGGGGAAAAAAAAAAAGAACAGAACAGAACCAACTTCATTTTCACAAGTGGCCCTTTAGAGAAGGGTGTGACATTGAGCTTCCACTGTGCCCTTCCCGGACGGCAGGGCCCAGGGAGGGCCACATGGGGCCTGGCGGGAGGTGCCACATTCCTAGTGGAAAGTAGGAGCTCTGTGCCTAGAGGGGTGGGAGGGCCATTGCCATCATCGGGAAGCTCTATTATCCATTCCCCTTGCCATGACCTTCGTTCTTCCAAAATGCTTTTAAAGGAGATAATGTTATCTTACCCATTTTTAAGCACTGTTCCCCAGACCCACCATGTACCCACCCTTCCACCCTGCCCCCCCCCCACACACACACATACACAGAATTTTTTCTGCTTTGTAACTGTAATGATGGAGACTGATAGGGACTTAAGTCATGTGCTTCCCATCAAGATAAGCAATTAACCTATTGTTTTACTTGTTGGGAAGAACCAAATTGTATAAATTGTATACACTGCCTGGTCTTCTGGACACACGTTTCCTAGCGGGTAAAATTAACATCTTCAAGGGGAGGGGGGGAACCTCATATGTTAATACTTCCTGTGTCTCTCACCACTGTCCTCAGTTAAAAGGATGCCTGGAATAGGAGGACTGATGAGAGGGTAGGCTACTAGGGGGATCTCCGTTCTCAGCTGACTTAGCCATTGATACCTGAGGCTGCAGGCAAGATTTCTATTTTGTAAAAAAGAAAAAATGGGGATAAAACTTTGGACCATGTCCAAGGCCCAGCTGCTCCAGCATTCTCTCCCCCCTCTTTCTTTTCGGGGTGGAAAATATTGAAAGTCTGCAAAGAACCAAAGCCTCCCTCGTGAGGAGAGCGATTTTAACTCTCATTTTCATACATTTAAATTAAACGTATTTCCACGGCGCCCCGCTTGCTTAAAGAGGCTCTAATGAGCCGTGTTTTAAAGATCGATACAAACTGGCCACACGAGTCTTCGGGCTCCCTGTAAGATGCTTTTTCAGGCTTGTGCTTTCCCATTAAGTCCAGGGAGGAGATGCCGCCGTACTCCGACGGGGAGCCCTGTCCTTTGTGTCTGTCTGTCTGTCAGTCTGTCTGTCTGCTTTCAGCTGGCACCAGGGGCTGTGTGCACAGAGGACTAGCCTGTGTGGTTGCTCCACAGTGGAGGGAATGTGAGGAATGCTGGCTATCTTTAGACCTGCTTCATGCTCAACAGATAAGGCGGAAACTAAAGAGCTGCGCTCTGCTGGAAGGAGCTGTGGGTCGAGGGCCACTGCAGAGGTGAACCGTGGGAATGCCGTGCATGTCCCCGCATGTGGGCAGTACCGGCTCATGGGGGGCGGGGCTCCCCTGTAGGGAATGAAGGGGGTACTCCCTTCAAGCGAGTATTGTATTTACTTGTGACCATACCAGCCATGACTGAAACATACCTGTTCGCTGGCGTTCTTTTGTTTGTGTTCATTAATTTTATTTTCAGCACGATGAAATTTTAATCTGGACTCGGGTCCCTCCTCCTTGTTTTAGTAGCTGGGCATGTGCCTCTGAACGTTCGAAATACTAATAGTACTGGCACCAGAGAGCGTCCACTTTAAGAACATCGCTGATGCCTCCTTTCTTTGCCCGTCTTAGGTGGTAGGTAGTGGGGGAGGGGGCCTGCCTGGAGCGAGGGACTGTGGTCCAGGCTGTGTGGAGATCAGCGCAAGCGTTTCACACGGGGGGTGGGAGTGTGCAAGAAGCTAAATTTAAACTAGGGGAGTCGGCATTTTCTCTAGAAATTGTTCCACTTTTCAAGAGGCGTGGGTGGGCCCTGGGAGTTCCCTGATAAAGCACATGCTTTCCCCACATCCTGCTCAAGTCAAAACATCTCCAGCAACTTTCGTCGGGGGTGAGGGGGGTTCTCCCCAGGCTGCAGGTTGGGGTGGGGACCCCTTGATTTTGCGCTTTCGTTTGACACGTTTTAAGGACTCCGAGGCTGACTTTTTCCCCGTGAAGATGGGAAGGGCAGCATTCTTAGGGGGGGCCCAAAATTATTTAAATTTGATACTTAATGACTTTGCAAAGCCGGGAATTTAACTGAAAGTAACTAAGTACCCAGATGTATTCTATCATTTATTCCTCTCCAAAACACTAAATGAGGGAGGCACTATTACTATCTCCATGCTACAGAAGAAAAACACTGAGATGGAAGCGTACCCAGCTGGTCAGTGGTAGCTCGCGCCTCACCTGGAAGTGACTGCAGGGCTGTCCTGAGGCCTGCCTCGACCTCCCCGCGGGGTCCTCGCACCCTGAGCTTATGAGGCAGCGTGCATAATAGATTGCCTTGCTGAGTGTGCGGCATAAGCGCATCGGTTTCCATGAGGATCAGCCCAGTGACTATTCAAAATGATGGCTCTCTGAAAACGGCTCCAGTCTTCATAACTAACCACATCTTCCCGCCTTCTCCTGTAGGTTGGACGTGACAAATATGAGCCTGCGGCCGTTTCCGAGCATGGCAACAAGAAAAAGGCCAAGAAGGAGAGGGATATGGATGAGCTGAAGAAAGAAGTGTCTATGGTAAATGCCAGGAGGGACATGGCTTTGTTCTCCTAAAGAGTAGTTGTATCTTTTGAGTGTATGATTCCCCCCACCCCCAACACACACACACACACACACACTTTATTTTATTTTTTTAAATATATTTTTTACTGATTTCAGAGAAGGAGGGAGAGGGAGAGAGAGAGAGAAACATCAATGATGAGAGAGAATCACTGGTCGGCTGCCTCCTGCAGGCCCCACACTGGGGAATCAAGCCCACAACCCGGGTATGTGCCCTGACTAGGAATCGAGCTGTGACCTCCTGGTTCGTAGGTCAGCCGCTGAGCCACGCCAGCCAGGCGAGAGTTGCTTTATTTCAAAAGCAACGCGGTCATTGCACTTGTGCAGATTTTATCGAATTAGAGGGCAGTAAGAAAACTTTCCATTTTCAAAGCTGTTGGAGGGTCGGAGACGTTATCCGGTCCCTGGGGCATAGCCAGAGGGGCTGTGCTTTTCTGCGCTTTGATTACTGGGAACTCCCGGCCTCTGGGGGCTGTGGGGCTTCCACGGATTCAGTCTATCCTCGGAAGGCAGGGCGGTTCTCCCTGCTCCGGGCATAGGGGCTCCCCGGAGGTGTGTGGCGGCTGAGCTTCTGCCCTCCTGCCGTGGGGACTCCGTGGGAAGTGGGGGGCTGCGGGGCCATGCAGCCATGGGGAAGCAGACCAGCGTCTGCCCTGAAGAGCGCCTTGCTTTCGGAGCCTAATGACGGGTGATGCTCTTTGCAAAGCCTTTCTGATGGTGCCATGTTTAATGGTGCTTTTCGTTTCTGCTTTTCCTTAGGATGACCATAAACTGAGCCTGGATGAACTTCACCGCAAATACGGAACAGACTTAAGCCGCGTATGTTCTCGTTTGAAACTTTTTGTGCAAAAATCCTAATTTCCTGTCACCTTTCCCCCCGGGTCACAGGCCTGGCCTTGGGGACTCTAGGGGGAACATGACAGCCACGGTCTGAGTATCTACTTCGTGACATGCACAGAGCTTGGCTTTCTTCATATGCTTTTTAAAAAGTCTTCTCCCCCCTGAAACTTTGAAAGTGCACATTATCATTTTTCCCACTTTACAGTGGGTGAGAAACTGAATAGTTCCAAAGCCATGTCACTCCCAGCCTTTTGAATACAAATCTTCCCTTTACTCTTCTACATTTGTTAACTTGAGTCGACTCTTCCAACAATTCCGATTTTTGCACTTTACCCACTAGCTCACTGCAGTATGCCAGAACCTTGGTCATTTATTTGAAACCTTTTTAAAAAAAAAACAAAAAAACCCCACCACAATTCAGAGAAACCTTTAAATAAAGTAGGTGTTCGACTACTAGAAATTCTGGGCAATAACTTGCATCCCAGCTATTCCGTAGCCACTGTCTCAATAAATTATCCAGATGTTCTCAGCAGCGTGCTGGCCCCGGTGCCCTGGCCTTGGCCCTGAGGCCCAGCTGTCCGTCCCCGTCGGGCAAGCCCTGAGCACATCACCTGGGTCATAAAACTGAACTTTATTAGGTTCCTATGAAATCGGTTCTCTGTGACCCTAAGTCATTTTAGTCAAACACCGTGGATCTGTTTCTTTTCTTGTAAAACAGGATTAATAATCCAAACACAGCTATCGTGGGAACCACACCAGTTCATGCGTTTGGAGCACCAGGTGCAGGGCGTGGCGTGCACCGTGCTCAGAGGTCCGCTGGTGGGCTCTGTGCTGCCCCGATCATCACACCATGAACTCGAGGCCGAGGAGGGAGGGTCCTAAATAAAAAGGGGAACTTTCCATTTTCCCTTACTGTTTGACTTTCCTTTCCCCACACTCCCGGGTTAACTCAAATATTAAAAGTAACATGAACCCAAACTGCGCATTCGCAGACACTTTGGGCAACGCGGTGTGTTTTTCTCTGACCTGGTATTTTCAATTCTTTATTAGTTAAGGTATTACAGATGTGTCCTTATCCCCCCCATTGACCTGGTATTTTTAATTCTTTATTAAGGTATTACAAATGTGTCCCCCCCCCCCCCCCATTGACCTGGTATTTTGATAGTGAGGAAGTCACCACGTTTTCCCCGTAGTCGGAGACTACTGTCTGCTGTCGGGGGATCTTGGTTTTAAGGCCCATGTAGGAAATAGAGTGGACTCCTCCCTTGAATTCTTCCCAGCTCATAGGTGGGAAGGGTGGGAGTGTAGCTAAAACATGCATGTGTGTGGGCCCTTCCGCCAGATGACGGTTTTAATATCATCCAGAGAATAGAGTTCTATACTTAAAACAGGGCTGTGGACCTAATAATCGGTGGGATTCCTACAGATTTTTTTTTTCTCCTTCGATGTTTATAGAGGGTTTTTTTTCCTCCCTGACAAATTTGATATACAGAAAATTCAAAGCTCTTAATTTGCAAAACTGAATCAGTTCCTTAAATATATTTTTGGTAAAAAAAGAAAAAAAATGCAGGTTAGCATGAATCCCTTATCTACAACTTAGAAGAAAGCATACTGGACTTGGATTTGTCCATGGGTCAATTTTAAAAAACAATTTCCGTCTGGATGTCGTGGGTTCCTCGGGAAACGTGGGCTGTTGACGGGGATCCTCACCAGAATTTGCCGGGGTTTGCCTTGGCGCGGGGAATGTTTCCTTCCAGATCCTTCATTGCGGCTTTCCAGCTCCCGGGTGGGTGCAGTGCCTCGTCAGGGGCTGGAGCCGTGTGTCTCACTTCTGTTCCTCTACTTCTCAGGGCTTAAGCACTGCTCGAGCTGCCGAGATCCTGGCCCGCGACGGCCCCAACGCCCTCACTCCCCCTCCCACCACCCCCGAGTGGGTCAAGTTCTGCCGGCAGCTGTTCGGGGGATTCTCCATGCTGCTGTGGATTGGAGCCATTCTTTGTTTCTTGGCTTATGGCATCCAAGCTGCCACGGAAGAGGAGCCTCAGAATGACAATGTGAGTCCCGCACTCCTGCGCGTGGGGTGCACATAAGGTAGCCTCCAGGTCAGGGGTGGGCAACCTTTTTGTGAGTGCGTGCCAAAACCAGCAAAATCTCCGACTCAGAATTCTTCTGCGTGCCAACCCTAATTTTTTGAGAGCATGTTACGCCTACTTGGTATCTCTTAAGGTGTACGTATGTGAAGAACCTTAAAGAAATAATTCATTCAAGCGACAAAAACACAGTATATGATGATGAAAAATACATTTATTTTTGAATGTATACATGTACACTGATAGTCCGACAGAAAACTTTATGACTCCGTTTGATATTATCAGTGGGACTTTTGTTGCTGCATCACTGATGACAGATTTTACATCAGGTTTATATTTCGTGACCTTCAGAGATATGCACGAGCTACTACTTTCATCCGTCAGGCTACTCCTATTATGAGACTTAACAAAATTCATCACTGAGAACAAAGATTCACAATTGTGAATGGAAGATTATAAGAGGGTTTCGCATGCCAGCAAAAGTTACTGGCGTGCCATATTTGGCACACGTGCCAGGGGTTGCCCACCCCTGCTCTAGGTCTTCACTGCCCATTCATGTTCAGTTGCTGCTAGGTTCTGGATGGCTTTTAACGCCAGGGAAAAGGAGTGTCAGCTACGGCTGCCTTCAAGGCCCATCCATCGCTCCTGCGATTGAGGCTTCTCTTTCCATCTCCGGTCCTGTGGAGGCTCTTGCTAGCTGCGCGCTGCCCTGCGTGGTGCTGCTGCGATGACAGGCGGCCTGTGCGGGTCCCGGCCTGGGTCTGGCTGCCATTCACTAGACGACAGACCACACTTGGAACCTTGATTGGCACATTACACGTGTCCTGAAAGGTTGTTAGCTATTTTTCTAAAGTCACGAGTTCCAAGAATATCCTTAGTTTGATAAAGCAGGAGAAACTGTATCAGAATATTATTTCCAAAAGTCTATCCCAGGGGTCCTCAAACTACAGCCCGCGGGCCACATGCAAATACAAATATTGTATTTGTTCCCGTTTTGTTTTTTTACTTCAAAATAAGATATGTGCAGTGTGCATAGGAATTTGTTCTTAGTGTTTTTTTTTAAACTATAGTCCGGCCCTCCAACGGTCTGAGGGACAGTGAACTGGCCCCCTGTTTAAAAAGTTTGAGGACCCCTGGTCTATCCAGTTAGTGACCCAGTGTCTGTGTGACTCCATTTGGGACTCTCCTGGACATGGTCTTTAGAAATATAAATGTGAAGACCTGAGTTCTCGATGTCTGAAGCCTCGATCCCTGTTAAAAATCGGGGTTTTAGTCCATCAAAAATTGGCTGAATGTTCCCAGTCCTTGACCCGGAGCCGTGCAACGCTAACGTGCTTGTCCCTCCCTAGCTGTACCTGGGTGTGGTGCTGTCTGCTGTCGTCATCATCACTGGCTGTTTCTCCTACTACCAAGAAGCTAAGAGCTCAAAGATCATGGAATCCTTCAAAAACATGGTCCCGCAGGTACCGGCTGCTTCATCCTGTCCCCTGGCGTGACTTAGCCCAGAATGAGAGCTCCTGTGAAGGTCTGGTTTCTCTAAGAATTCAGTGACTGTGGGAGAGGGGGGTGCTTCACCTCCCACCCCAGACAGGCCTGTCTTCCCTCTGAGTGGACGGAGAGGGAGCAGGTACCATGGGAAGGAGAGGACCAGCTTTTAGCTGTTGAGCGAGCTTTTGTCACTTGGACAAATAAAAAGGTTGATGTCTTTGTTAGTGCAAATGAAAATGATAACCTGTTATGCATTCGGATGATTAGAATTACAGATCATTGGGTAGCTTGATTTCTTCTTTTTTTTTTTTTTTTGACACTACCTTCCTGTTGGTATCATGTTTGTCTGATTTAATGGTGTAAACTTTTCCCCTCCCAAAGCAAGCCCTGGTGATCCGCAACGGTGAGAAAATGAGCATCAACGCGGAGGAGGTGGTGGTTGGGGACCTGGTCGAAGTGAAAGGCGGGGATCGGATCCCTGCTGACCTCAGGATCATTTCTGCCAACGGCTGCAAGGTAGGCTGGCACGGACCCCTGCTGTGTGGGCATCGGGAGCGGGACAGCCCGCGGCCGGCCTGCGCCCTCACGGCACTGACTCCCGTCCTCGCCGACAGGTGGATAACTCCTCGCTGACCGGGGAGTCGGAGCCCCAGACCAGGTCTCCCGACTTCACACACGAAAACCCCCTGGAGACGAGGAACATCGCCTTCTTTTCCACCAACTGCGTTGAAGGTAGGCCATGGGAGGCACCGTTGGCACGGCTTGGCGCTTGTCTTAGCCGTTAGCAACAAAAACCAAAAAAAAAAAAAAGAAATTCCAGACACGGTTTTCTATTTTCACGTTACCAGCTCCATTTTTGGCCACTTCGGTCAAGCGCAGCCGAAGGGGCTCGCCCGCTGGTAGGGAGCCCAAGCCCTCCTCCCCTTCCCGCCCCTCCTGAGGCTGTGTGCCTCCTGCTCGGCGTTCGGAGCCGCTCGCTGCCCAGGGACAGAGATCCCTTTGCCAAAGTCTCTGTGTTTTCAAACAAACAGTGTACAGCACCAAAGAGCCGGCCCTTAAAGATGTGTTTCTTCTTTTAAATTTTTTTTAAAAAGTGATTTCAGAGAGGAAAGGAGAGAGAGAGAGAATCATGAGATCGAGCCCGCAACCCGGGCATGTGCCCTGACCAGGAATCGAACCCTGACCTCCTGGTTCATAGGTCGACGCTCAACCACTGAGCCACGCCGGCTGGGCAGAAGTGTGTGTTTCTGTCTTCAACCACGCCAGGTCCCTGCAAATGCTGTGGCTTCTCTGATAACCAATCCCCTCCCCCCCTTCCAGGCACTGCCCGCGGCATCGTCGTGTACACCGGAGACCGCACCGTCATGGGGAGAATCGCCACGCTGGCCTCTGGGCTGGAAGGCGGCCAGACGCCCATCGCCGCAGAAATCGAACATTTCATCCAGCTCATCACGGGGGTGGCCGTGTTCCTGGGGGTGTCCTTCTTCATCCTCTCCCTGATCCTCGAATACACCTGGCTCGAGGCCGTCATCTTCCTCATCGGAATCATTGTCGCCAATGTGCCCGAAGGTCTGCTGGCCACCGTCACGGTACGAGGCTGTTGCGCAGGGTCGGGTCGGCTCAGGTCAGCCCCCAAGAGTATGAGGCTCGGCCACCCCCCTCCTGGGGGCCACCCGCTTAGGTTTTACTGCACACGTTGGTATAGAGATTTTCTCCAGAGCCACATGGTGGGCTTAGGCAGTGGGGGGACCTTGGGTGTTTTCATGTGGATGATAGTAATTCAGAAGCATGAATCTAGTTCTTGTATTTTCACATGTTCCAGAACAGCCTAGCGGTTGAGTGGGGGAACCGAATGTGCTAAATCCTGGCGCTTTTCTTAATATCTTATTTGGGGGGAGGGAAAGCCCCCTATACATGGCCCAATTATTATCATTATTATTATTTTAAATATATTTTTATGATTTCAGAGAGAAAGGGAGAGGGAGAGAGAGACAGAAACATCAATGAGGAGAAAGAATCATTGATTGGCTGCCTCCTGCACACCCCACACTGGGAATCAAGCCTGCAGCCTGGGCATGTGCCCTTGACCGGAATCCAACCTGGGACCCTTCCGTCCGCAGGCTGATGCTCTGTCCACTGAGCCAAACCGGGTAGGGCTGGAACAAGTATTTGTTCCGACTTCAGAGGAAGGTTGGAGAGCTAATCTTAGACACAGTTCTATGTGAGGGTGCAGCCACCGTTTTAGAATTCAACGCGATTGAGGCTGAAGTAATCAGGTTCCTAACGCCCTGCAGGTGTGTCTGACCCTGACTGCCAAGCGCATGGCCCGGAAAAACTGCTTAGTGAAGAACCTGGAAGCCGTGGAGACGCTGGGGTCCACGTCCACCATCTGCTCCGATAAGACCGGGACCCTGACGCAGAACCGCATGACGGTGGCCCACATGTGGTTTGACAATCAGATCCACGAAGCCGACACGACGGAGAATCAGAGCGGTAAGGCCCGCCCCACGCGGCAGCCTCTGGTCCACGCTGCTTTTTTTAAAAATCATTTTGTAAAAGTTTGTGTAGATTTTCCTCTTTTTTTTTTTTTTTTGTTTTGCATGTCAGTAGAAAAACTGAATTTGTCATACAAATGTGGTTGGGAAATTCCTAAAACCTGACTTACTCCACTTTTATGGGATGTTCATGCATCACTTGCTTGTCTCGGTCCCGTCAGGTGTCTCCTTCGACAAGTCCTCAGCCACCTGGCTCGCCCTGTCGAGAATCGCTGGCCTTTGTAACAGGGCCGTGTTTCAGGCCAACCAGGAAAACCTGCCCATCCTGAAGGTACGCCCCGGAGTGCCCTAGCCCTCAGGCGGGAGGGGGGGGGGGGTCCTACACAGGGACCACCTGTGAGTGCTCTTCTCCGGTAGCACGTGGCCTCCGTGGCCCGTAAGCACCTGCTCCTTGTGGGACACGGATGGTCCAGGCGATGCTTTGCCGGGTGGCACCTTTGCCGCCTGTAGATCCTGAAGCACTTACTGTGCCCGAAGCCCATTGGGAAAAAGCGAATCTGCAGTAAAAACTGACAGGAGGAGGGTGGGCGAGGGGAGAGGCCGTCTTCTGTGCAAACCTTGGTGATAAAATCCAGTTGTATTATCCTGGTTTCTTAGGCCGTCGCCTCACCTGGTGGGCGGCAGGGGCTGCTCGGGCGGCTCCGTAATCGCATTTGCATGTTGGGGTGCAGGAGGTTCCAGTAAATCCCTTAAGCCGTTTATTTTCTTAAAATAGCCCTGCTGTGTCTCTTATCTTCTTTGTCCTTAGCTTGCTCACTAATCATGAGGTGTTGCTGGGATGTCCGGTGAAGACAGTGTCAGGAAGGCAGGAGCTGCACGGGGCCCCTGGGGACATGGCGGCCCAGGCTGGCTCGTCCTGGCCGTGCCACGCCACGCCGCCTGTGGCAGCTCTGGGTAGAAACCCAGTGGTCAGAGAGGTGGCTTCTGCTGGGCCGATAAGCCTCTTTCATTTCTTAAAGGAGGTTGTCTTCTGATGGGAGCAGGATAAAACTTCACACATTGTCCCCTCCTGCTTCAAAGAAGAAATTCCCTAGGCTCCAAGCACAGGGACTCACCAGCACCAAATCTTTCCTGGTTTAAAAGCCCCAGAAGGGCAGCTGGAGATGTATTTCCCAGCATGTCAGGGGTCGGGGCCATGCTCATGGTGGTGTAAGCTGTGTTACCTGAGGTGTGGGTTTCAGCTGGAACGCTGGCGGATGGTATTACTGTTGGGGCTGGTAGTGCCTCTCAGTTCGGGTCTGTCAGGCCCAGATACTTTCCCGCAGCCGTTTGGAATACAGAGTCCTCCGCTCCACCCTTGACACGGACTGTGTGTTCCCGCTGCCGGGACCCAAGGCGTGTGCTTGCAAACTGTCGGGCAGTGGGAGCGCTCGAGTGTGTGCTTTCTCACTGGGTATTTTCAGGCTTGTAACCAGAAATACGAGTCTGGGGACGGTGGTGGCTTTGAGACTTCAGCAGGGGAAGATGAATAGGCTCAAGTAGGTCGGGAAGGGTGTGTTTTACTTCTCCCGAGGGCAGGTGACACCTTCAGACAACGATGTGGGTGTGGGTGTGGGCGTGTGACGGGCCTGGTGACCTGCGTCTGAGCTGCTGCTCCTTCCCCGCCCTCCCCTCCTCCCACCGAGACGGGGACACATTCCTGGTCGTTTTCCCTCGTCCGAGGTGGCGCCTCGGTGCAGCATTTTCAGGGAACCTGACAGGTGCCGTCTGTGTCCACAGCGGGCGGTGGCGGGCGACGCCTCCGAGTCGGCGCTCTTGAAGTGCATCGAGCTGTGCTGCGGGTCCGTGAAGGAGATGAGAGAGCGGTACCCCAAACTCGTCGAGATACCCTTCAACTCCACCAACAAGTACCAGGTCTGAAGCTGGGGGAGGGGGATTGAGCGGTGGGCGAGGGGCAGAGAGGGGAACAGAGAGCCTGTGGAAGAACTCGTCTCCCTCTGGGCGTTTGATGAGCATCAATGCCTCCTGAAAGGGAATTGTTCACCCTGTTTATGAAAGCCTTCGCTTTGTATCTTACCGTTGACTACACCTAGAAAACCCTAACTTATTTGACTTTCAGTAGGATGAGTGACACATTTCCTTCAGGGAAATGTTGTCTGTCTGTGTGTGACTATGTCACCGTGCTGGCCTTTTCTGTAGAATTCAGAGCATGTTACGAGGTGTGAGGCAGGTTCAGACGTAAGGGGTCTTGGTTTTTTGCCGTAACAAATACTAACTGGTAAGGGAGCTCCATTCTCCTCCAGGAGCGCCTCAATTTTTCATCTGAACAACCCTTCCTTTCCAGTTGTCCATTCACAAGAACCCCAACACGGCCGAGCCCCGGCACCTGCTGGTGATGAAGGGGGCCCCCGAGAGGATCCTGGACCGCTGCAGCTCCATCCTGCTCCAGGGCAAGGAGCAGCCGCTGGACGAGGAGATGAAGGACGCCTTCCAGAACGCCTACCTGGAGCTGGGCGGCCTGGGCGAGCGCGTGCTGGGTACGTGCGGCACCTGGGGACAAAGCGAGGCACCGCGCCACCCCCCCCCCCCCCCCACACACACACACACACACCCATTGTGGAGACGGGAGGAGCCAGGGGAATGCCTGGGGTATTGGGCCTGGGCAGCAAAATCCCACTGGTTTGCTTCTGACTCGTACTTGGACCCTTGGTCCTGTGCCGTCCAGTTCTGTCTGATGAGAACCTGTCTGACCTGGGCTGCTGAGTCCCTGACCTGTGAGCTCAGTGGCCCGAAAGAGGACTCCCAGGGCCTATAGATGAGCACATAGTAGATGCCCCGGGGCACGTGAGCGTCAGCTCGAAACTTGGGGCGAACAGCGGGCTGCTGGGCGGGGTGCTGCCCAATCTCTCTCTCAGGGTGGCCACTGGCACA